AGTGCCATGGCGTCAGCCTAGCTCACAGCAACCTCAAACTCCTGGGCTCAAGCGATCCTCCTGCCTCAGCCTCCCGAGTAGCTGGGACTACAGGCATGTGCCACCATGCCTGGCCAAGGGAACCAAGTTTTTGTTAAAGCACAAAGGGGGAATGGACTGCTTAGAGAACGGTCTGAGGATTTAAGAAGATTTTGCTAGTGATGGTTAGTGGGTTGCAGAGAATAGCATAGAAGGGTTTCAAGAATTGGGGAGGGGCAGGAAATGGGGGCAGATTAAGGGATGTCTGCAGCCATATGGGGATTAGAGTTCAGGTGTTAAGGGGTGACCTAGGAGTCTTGGGCTTCTTCTGGTGATGGAATTAAACAGGGACGCAGGGCACAGTGGGATCAGTGGTCTCCGTGGCAGAGTATGGTGATGTGGCTGTCAGGATTGTGGGGTGGGGGGAAGGAGGTTGGGGATCATGCTGTGGACAGAGTCCATGTACCTAATATTTCAGGCAGTCTAACTCCAGAAGCCTCGAGAACTTTACCACTCTGCTCTTTTGATGCTAAAAAAGATGTTGGTTTGGATGTGAGAAGGAAGTTAATGACCTATGTAACTTAAAACATTTTTATTGCTTTTGACTTTCAGTTGCATCTATGTAGGACTTTTTGTCTGTAGCCTCAGGATCCCTCCAGCTGACAAGGAACCAGGCTATGTTCATTAGAGTAGAGTTCCAGGAGTGATTTCTGTAGGATAGAAATGAATTAATCAGGTAGAAATTTTCCTGGGGAAGTATGGCATTTCACAAATATTGTTTGTAGAATGGGGGAAAGGGGGTCGGGGTGGCTTTGTGAGAAAGTTCTCAGAAATTAGCCCAGATTCAGTGCTTAGTAAAGAACTGTCTTAGCTAGGCTTAGTGGCATGTGGCTATAGTGCCAGCTACTTTGGGAGGCTGAGGCAGGAAGATCGCTCAAGCCCAGAAACTCAGGGATAATAGTACACTGTGAGTAGCCACCTGTGAGTAGCTACTACACTCCAGCCTGGGCAGCATAGCATGACCCTGTCTCTTTTTTGTTTGTTTGTTTGAGACAGAGTCTCACTCTGTTGCTGGGGCTAGAGTGCTGTGGTGTCAGCCTAGCTCACAGCAACCTCAAACTCCTGGGCTCAAGCAATCCTTCTGCCTCAGCCTCCCAAGTAGCTGGGACTCCAGGCATGCGCTACCATGCCCGGCTAATTTTTTCTATATATTTCTAGTTGTCCAGCTAATTTCTTTCTATTTTTAGTAGAGACAGCATCTCACTCTTGCTCAGGCTGGTCTCAAACTCCTGAGCTCGAATGATCTGCCCGCCTCGGCCTCCCAGAGTGCTAGGATTACAGGTGTGAGCCACCGCGCCTGGCCAAGACCCTGTCTCTTGAAAAAAAAAGAAAAAAATGAAGAAGAAGAACTGCCTTTTTTCTTCCCTATTGCTAAATGCCCTCTCTCCCCTTCCCTTTGCCTATTGCTTCTTTTCTGGATTGTACGTAACTTCTCTGTGCCTTAGTTTCCCTCTGTCAAATGGGAATGGTCATAGTTCCTGCTTCACAGGAAAGTTGTTACAATTAAGTGAGGTAACACAGGTAAAAGTATTTAACACAGTGCATTGGGTATAACATAAGTACTTTAGAAATATGATTTGCTATTAAATGACAAGTGGTAGGTTCTCTGTTCCCATTCAGTTCTCTTTTTGCTACTAGTTGAGTCGATTTCTTCTGATATGCCCTTGCCCCTCATCTGCTTCCTCCCTTCCTGTCCCTCTTTTTCCACACTTCCTCTTTTTCCTGTTTCCTCTTTCCCCTTCTTGGCCCTGGTTGCCCCTGGCAGCTGCACCTACGTTAACCCGCTCTGCAGCCTCCCGAAGTAGGGAACTCTTGCAGTAGGGGTGAGGCAGCCCTCAGAGGAGGGAAAGTGTTGGTGGGGGAACGTCAGGTGGCTGCAGAGGTGTGGTGAGCCAGGTATAAGGAGCTCAGGAGCTGGCAGGCCTGTGTTGCAGGGCAAGCTTGGCCGCTGTGTGATGTGGGGCTGGGGTGGCAGGCAGTGGGGCAGAGCAGGCTAAGAAGGAAAGGATCACTTGAACAGGAAGGAGTTGGGCTGAGTCACCGTGTGGAAGGACAAGTGAGGACATGCAAGTCCTGCTACTGCTTTTGCTGCTGATACCACTATTATTAATACCGCTCCCATTAAGAACAGCAGTTCCCCCCCACCAGGCATCTCCTGTGTGTCAGGCTTTTGTGGAAGGGAGGGGGCGGAGTAGCAGAATGTGGCAGCTAAGACTATACATTCTAGGAGCCAGCCAGCTTGGATTTGAATCCTGGCTGTGACACCAAATGAGTGTGTTTCCTTGAGTAAGTTACCTAACCTCTCTGCGCCTCAATTTCTCATTTTTAAATGGAGATCATTGGTACAGCACAGTTGTTATGAGGATTAGTTTGAATGAATGGTTTACAAAGTGCTTTTCATAGTTTCTGGTACTTAAGAAGCACTATATAAGTGTTATATTTTTAAAAGTTTAAAAATTGTACAACGATCTTAGAACACAGCCATTATTTCCATTTTACTGATGCCAAAACCAAGGTGGAGAGGTTAAGAGACTTGCCCAAGGCCACAGGGCTACATACTGAGCAGCAGAGTCAAATCTAGAACACAGATTTCACAGACTCCAGGGTCCTAGCTTGCAACCGCAGTGCTTAACTGCCTCCCTGGACATGCAGGTGAATACTTTGCTTTCTAGGAAGGTTGTAAGGGAGCGAGAGTCAGGTGGGCACCGTGAGTACAGGTGGGTGATCAGCGATTGGAGTCTGAGAGGTCAACAGAGGCACTTCTTGAGGACAGACACACTTGGGACCAGTGGCCACAGGCCCTTGGCTGGGTTTTCTGCTCCCTGCTATGGGAAAGTAGCCTGGCTTCTCAGGCCCATTTGGAAAAAAAATCAAGTACCTTAGGTACCTGAAGGTTCTCATTACAGCCAGACAGCTGAGCCCTCCTGGGACTTTTTCCTCCTTGCCTGTTTTCCAGGTGACCTCAGTGATGTCAATTAACCCTTTGGCATCTCAGTTTCCTCATCTATCAAGTGAGAATAATACTTTCCCTGCCCATTTCATGGGGTTTTTGAGACATTGACTAGATCGTGGATGTGAAAACATTTGAAAAGCATAGAGCAGTGTCCAAATTCAGGATAGTGCAGTGATCCCAGACCACATTACTGTGAGGGTCCAATGTGGACCTGTCAGGCCTCCGTAGCTACCTGGTGCTGGTGATGCCCAGTGTCAGATTTCATGACCTTTTCCAGCTATTCCAGTGTGGTCTACAGAGATACTTGGAACCTCATCTCCTTTTCTGGGTTTTTATGTTTCCCTTGGTGAGCATAAAGTAATAGATGAGCATCATTTGGGTCCCTGGGGAATTTTTCTTCTGCATAGATCTTTATTTTAAAGAGCCAGAGCCAGGGTCTGTGTCCAGAGTTCACAGTTGTCCCAGCTCCCGTTCTGGGAGCTCTGCCATCTTTTTGGTTTCAGCCCTTGGCACAAGGCACGCTTGGGCTCCTCTCATTAGCACACAGCCTTCATTATTGCTTGCGCTGTAGGGAACAGGGAGGCAACTGAACTGAACACCCCTGGTGTCCTTGTCTGTCTCGGCATCCTGTGTGTGTGTGTGTGAGTGTGTGTGTGTGTGTGTGTGTGTGTGTGTTTTAGGGGTTGTGTAAGCCCCAGAGGCTAGGCTTCCTGCCAGCTGCTGAAGTTCTTTTTCCCCAGAATTGAGTTAGCCACCTAGCCATTTCTATTCTCTACCTACTGCCAAGCTCTGTAGTAGAGTCCCCATGCCAGGTCAAAACTGTTCTCTGCTTTGGTAATCCAGTGCTTCCATTTTGAGAGATGGGAAACAAAAGTGAGTGAGCACACATGTTGGATGCTGGGAAGGTGGGGACATTCTTTTTGGCACAAAAGAATTGGCCCAGCTGCTTGGTTTTCACTCCAAAGTAGGGCTAACTCTGGACTGACCCCTAGATATCCAATGGGAAAATTAGTTTTGGATCTGGACCCTATTAGACCTAGCAGTCCATTTTTTTAAATCTGCAAAGTGAGAATAATAAATTCGATTCCATATGTTCTTCATTTCAAATGAGAAATAAATACTCCACCATCTACTTGCCAGGAACAGGAAGTGACATAAGGTTGTGATTCTTCAAGTATATCCTGCAGAATGCTAAGTGTTATATAAAAAGAGTCACTCGCTAAATAAATTTGGGAAACACTGGGTACACAATGGTAAGTAGGTTTCTTGTCTGTAGGGACCACTCAGGTCCTCAATATACCAATAACACACATGGTGATTCTCCCAGGCATTATATCACATGCCACAATTCTTAAATTTTTAACCAAACTTTCTCAGTGGAGCATTTTTCAAGTACCATCTCTACAAAATATCCTATGGAAGATCCTGATCTGGGTCATAGGAATATTCATTTTTTTTTTTTTTTTTTGAGACAGAGTCCCACTCTGGTGCCCAGGCTAGAGTTTCATGGCATCAGCCTAGCTCAAAACAACCTCAAACTCCTGGGCTCAAGCAATCCTTCTGCCTTAGCCTCCCAAGTAGCTGGGACTACAGGCATGCCCCACCATGCCCGGCTAATTTTTTCTATATATTTTTAGTTGGCCAATTAATTTCTTTCTATTTTTAGTAGAGATGGGGGTCTCGCTCCTGCTCAGGCTGGTCTCAAAGTCCTGACCTCTAGCGATCCTCCTGTCTCGGCCTCCCAGAGTGCTAGGATTACTAGCGAACCACCAGGATTACTGTGAACCACCGCGCCTGGCCTAGGAATATTCATTTTGTTCTTTTCTCTGAAACTGTAAAGAGAGGTAGGTTGATGAAATGCATGGGGCTGCTCAAATGTGAGTCCTGAAGAGCTAGGGTGTTCAAGTGCAGACTGTATTGGAATGATGCTTCTTGCTCTAAAACGCCTTTCTCCCTCCTGTCCTCACAGCTCCCCTTTGAATTGGAGATTTACTACATCCAGCATGTTATGCTCTACGTGGTGCCCATCTACCTGCTTTGGAAAGGAGGTAAGGCCAGCAAACCACACCCCTATGCCATCCCCAACCTAGCCTCTGCCTTCTGTTTTTGAGAGTCACAAACTCTTGGGTGCCCACCAGGATCTTCAGCTGCTGCTTGGCTGGGTTTCTTCAGCACGCTTACGCCAGACACGAGGCAGTGGGGAAGTGGGCATGGATGGGGCCTGCAAGGAGTCTGGGGGCTTTTCAAAACCATCTTGTGTTGGGTGAACATGGTGCCACTGCCTGCCTGTCTTAGGGCCTGGGCTTTGGGCGCTTGGTGGTGGCATTGTGGTTGCATGGAGCCCCCCCTTCACACGCCGTCACTCTCTTGTGCTTGTGCCTTCCCCTGCCTCAGTGTGCAGTGTAGGGGAGAAGGAGAGAATTAAGCACTCAGTCCCCTCAAGAGAGGGACTTTGTGCTCTCCCTCATTATGTCCGTCCTCTCAGAACCAAAGAAGACACTGAAAGGGGCAAGATGTCCAGGGACTGGGGGGATGGTGAGATTGAGGCAGGTGAGAGAGCAGTGTCCTGTGTGTAAAAGAAACCATTAGAAACCTTCACTGGGTCAAGAGGGAGGAACCACCAACCTGGTAGAGACAGCCTGGAAAGGAAGCTGATCTGTTTGTGACTTCCTAGTAACCCTTAAACTATCCCTTCCCTCTATTGTGTAGCAGACAAAAGGAAAGCATTGATCCTGTGCCCTCTAACTTTGTCGTGAGAGCCACTCCTCTGTGTACCTAGAAGACATTCTCTTTCAGTCTCAGCCACCAGCCTCTTTATCTTGGTTGCTGGGACTTTTCTGGGAGACCAACCCCTCCCTACCTCACCCCAGGCAGCAAGGATTTCATTTCCACTGCACTGTAGCTGGCATGGGACCACATGGGCCCTTGAGCCCACTGGAAGACGGTGTGGAAGTCCCACTGGGCTCTGCTGCTTCTTGGCTTAAGCTTGCATCCTCTGACTCAGGCATTCTGGCAAATCTTAAGAGCTTCTGGCATGAAATAGCCCCAAGGACTAGTCACCACAGGAAAAAGGTGGAGGATGGGCACCTTTGCTCTCCATAGAGTCTACTTACAATAGACAGATTTGTCTCTTATGCTGTGGTTTTTCCATAGACTTGTCTAAATATTCTTTGAGGCTGCTTTTACCCTATGCAGCCACTTGGGGGCTCACAATGTCAGAGAACACTGATTCCTTTTAGTTGCTCTAAAAGCACTGTCTTCTCCACTAAGATTTTTTTTTTTTTTAAAGACAAGAGTCTCACTCTGTTGCCTGGGCTAGAGTGCCGTGGCGTCAGCCTAGCTCACAGCAACCTCAAACTCTTGGGCTCAAGCGATCCTTCTGCCTCAGCCTCCCAAGTAGCTGGGAATACAGGGATGTGCCACCATGCCCGGCTAATTTTTTCTGTATATTTTTAGTTGGCCAATTAATTTCTTTCTATTTTCAGTAGAGACTGGGTCTCACTCTTGCTCAGGCTGGTCTCGAATTCCTGACCTTGAATGACCTTCCTGCCTTGGCCTCCTAGAGTGCTGCTAGGATTATAGGTGTGAGCCACTGCGCCCGGCCTGTTTTCCCCACTAAGTTTTAAGGGAAGTATGAAGTTCCAGTATCCAGGAGACTTTTGCCATTTCTCAGGTCTGTCCACTGTGACACAGGAAATAGCTTCCTAATGATACTCAAGTCTCCGAAATATACCCCTTCTGAACAGAACCAGGCAGGCAGCTGTCCTAGGGCTCCAGGTCTCCAGACCCCCAGCACTTGTTCCTGGTTTCTGAGGTATGTGATGGGACTTCTGGCCAGGTCCATATGGCTGTTATTTAAACCTCTTTGTACTCTAAGTTCACCATAAAAATCTGTCAGGGAGCTGGGCTAGGCTGGTTTGACTGGAAAATACTAAGTAGCCATTTTCCTCCCTCCAAGAGAATAATTGGAGAAGACACTTGGCTTATTCCACTGCAGACTTCTTTTGGATCTATTGCTGTGCTTTTTGGGGGAACTGAGCTGAGGAAGTAGGGATTGCAAGTCTTAATTCCAATTTATTTCCTACTCGTAGTGATTCTCTCCTTTCTCCTCCGGTGCCTGGCCCTGAGAAGGGGCTGTAAATAATAGCAACAGTAATAATATCCACAGTAAATATCAGTGACTATTTTTTATTTGCTGTGTGCAAGATATTGTGCTAGGCACGTTTCATGTATTTTCCCTTCACAAATAACATGTTGAAGAATCCTCCTTCTACAGAGGAGAAAATCAAAGTGCAGAAACATTTGGTACCTTGCCCATAGACATTAAGTAACAGGGCTAGGAGTCACAGCCCAGCCTAGACTCCTTCCCAAGCTGGTGCTCGTTTCTAAAGGGCAGATGTCTGCCTCCTGACCTTTAGCCATTCACTCAACACATATTTGTTGAATACCTTCTGTGTGCCTAGCATTTGTACTAGGGAATCGGAAACAAACCAGAAAGGCGTAGTCCTTCCACAGGGAGTCACTGTCTATTGGGGAAGATAGACAACTGTCATTGCAGTGTGATAAGTACTGCACAGGGTAATGTGGGAGCGGAATATGACTTTAGAAGTCTAGTTGACCTTCTCTTCTTCTTTACCATTTCCAGGAAGATAATTGTATTTTCTTAGAGCAGATCCTGCTCTTAGACTGGTTCCCTATCTAGTGAGGTAAGAAATAGTAGGGCTGTAGTGAGAGAGACAGTATGCTCTGTTATTGCTAATAACCTGTAGACACCCCTAGCTCAGTGAGGATTTAGCTTAGGACAAGCTAAATGGAGTGATCTCATCAAGCTGACCTTTGACCCCAACCCCTGTATGACAGCCTCCACAGCCCCCCAGAACTTGATGGGCTGTATCACCTTCTATCTGGCCAACTTTTAGCTATTGCTAGGGCTCATCTCCCATTTCTAGCTCTTTGCTACCATCTGCTGTTCACTTGGGAATTAGGAGCATTGCAAGAAAAATCTAGATTTCTTCCTAAGGATAGTTTCGCCTTTGGTCCCAAGACTTGGATTTAGGCCTTGCAAAGGAGGAATGTGTGGGGAGTTAGCTACGCTCCCAGCAAAAAATCGGGTCCCTTAAGCAAGGGTCATCGCAAAGAATAGAAAATAGAAAATAATGGAAATAAAAGAATAAACAGAGACAAAGGTATAGTTTTATAGATTTATATAAAGAAAAAGCAAAGCAAGACTACTCTCCATCAATTGTGAGGCCAGGAGTGAAGTTTCACAGGGTATTTATAGGTATATCTGTTGCCAAGGGTGACAGATTAACATAATAACAGGTAGTTAGTTTTAGGTTGAAAGTTTTTCAGAAGGCTTCTATAGATCTCAAAATCTATCAAAGACAAACTTCTAAGTTGTAAGATAAAGCTATCACTTAACAGAGGGGTTACAGAGAGATAGAGTAGCTCCATATTTATCTAGTTATTGTGGATGGAGACAGACAGGAGTTGAGCAGGAACTGGCCCTTGGGCTAATTGCTTTTAGCCACAGGTGTCTGTCTCTTGGGCGGGCACTCTTTGATCAGTTCCCATCATGAGGCTCCATGCAGACCTGCTTTATTCAAAGCTGGCGAAAACCACAGGTTTGAGACTGCAGTGTCATCTTGGAAAGCAGCTGTCACTGAACTTGGATACTGGCCCTCCTGAGGCGAGGCAGCCTTTGATATGCAAACTAACACGTTCACATATTCCTTCAGGGCAAAGCCCTGCAAAACTCCAGAGATAATTTCTGTCTTTAATATAGCAATATTAATTTATGGAGTGACAGGAATGGATCTGGAGTGAGCAGTAGGAAGATTATTTTTCTGTAAACCAAGGAAGCTGAGGATTTGGGGCTTCTGTTCCATAGAAGTCTGTTGTAATTTTCCAGAAGTAAATGGCTTAGGAGTTTTTACTCTAGACAAGACAGCTCTTCTATAGATAACTCCTGTGCCCAGGAACCCTGTTTTTGAAAGGCAAGGTCTTGCTTGAGCACATAGTTCCTTTTCCTGTGGTTAGAGTAGGCAGGAGGCACTTCGTGGGAATCCCACTCCTCCCCCCATTGCTGCAGTCCTTAGGCACCATTCCAGCACATGGGATCTCTCTCAGCCACACTGCTCTTTTCTTCCTCCAGCCTGGCTCTTTTCCTGTTTCCTTTCTCCCAACTCTTTGACTTTGGCCCTCTGGAACTACATTCCTCTTTTTCTTTGTGTGTGTGTGTGTTACAGTTTTTATTTTTTTAATTTAACTTTTTATTGAGTACTGACAAAGTATAATTGTATCTATGTATAGGGTATCAAATGATACCATGATACATGTATAAAATGTAGAATGATTAGCTTGATTCAATGAACTCTATTTCTTACAGTCCTCCCACCTCCACCAGTAAGCAGCTCCTCACCGAACATGGGGGCCTTCCTGTCTCTTCCCTGCAGCTCCCCCTAATGGAGGCTCCCTCCTGTCCTGCTCATGGCTCATCACACCCCTGTATGGTTACCTTCCATCTCTCCCAGCTCCTCTGGAACCTCGTGCCATCAACTAGTCACTTGTTTACCTGGATTTTCCACACTTTCTTCACTACCAGCTTTTCAGCTAATAAAGATGCTCAGGTCTTTCCCATTCTAAAATAACCATCTCAGCTGGGCGCGGTGGCTCACACCTGTAATCCTAGCACTCTGGGAGGCTGAGGCGGGTGGATTGCGGGTGGATTGCTGGAGGTCAGGAGTTCGAAACCAGCCTGAGCAAAAGTGAGGACCCCCCCCCATCTCTATTATAAATAGAAAGAAATTAATTGGCCAACTAATATATATAGAAAAAATTAGCCGGGCATGGTGGCACATGCTTGTAGTCCCAGCTACTCGGGAGGCTGAGGCAGAAGGACTGCTTGAGCCCAGGAGTTTGAGGTTGCTGTGAGCTAGGCTGATGCCACGGCACCCACTCTAGCCTTGACAACAAAGTGAGACTGTGTCTCAAAAATAAAATAAATTAAAATAAAATGAAATAAAATAACCGTCTCTTTATCCCACAC